ACTCCTTTCCCCCACCCTTTCCTGTTGCTAGTGGCCAAGGGAATGCTGGAAATGTAGTTCTTTCCCTGCTCCAGGGCTGGTTCTATAGCAGAGAGCTAACCAAGGAACTACAGCTCCCAGGGCCCCCTGTTGGTTCTCAGCTCCCATGCTGAATTCTTGCGCCCCTTGCAAATCTGCCGCCCCAAGCAACTGCTTGCTTTGCTGGTGCCTAGAGCCGGCCCTGTGCCCAGCACTGGCAATAAGTAGGGCCCTACCAAATTCATGGCCATGAACAATGCGTCACGGACTGTGAAATCTGGTCTCCACCCATGAAATCTGGTCTTTTGTTTGCCTTTACCCTATAATATACAGATTTCACAGGAGAGACCAGCGTTTCTCAAATTAGGGGTCCTGACTCAAAAGGGAGTTGCAGGGGCGCCACAAGGTTATTTTCGGGGTCTCTTGGGATTGCCACCCTTACTCCTGCACTTCCTTCAGAGCGGGGCAGCCAGAGAGTGGTGGCTGATGGCTGGGTGCCCAGTTCTGAAGGTAGCGTCCCGCCAGCAGCAGCACAGAAGTGAGGGTGGCAATACCATACCATGCCACCCTTACTTCTGCACTGATACCTTCAGAGCTGGGCAGTTGGAGAGTGGTGGCTGCTGACTGAGGGCCCAGCTCTGCAGGCAGCAGTGCAGAGGTAGGGGTGGCAATACCAGACCATGCCATCCTTACTTCTGCGCTGCTGGTGGTGGCTGCTCTGCCTTCAGAGCTGGGCTCCCAGCCAGCAGCCGACAATCTCCAGCTGCCCAGCTCTGAAGGCAACACCGCCACCAGCAGCAGTGCAGAGGTAAGGGTAGCAGTACCGCAAATCCCTTACAATAACCTTGCAAACCCCCACCCCAAACTCCTTTTTGGTCAGGACCCCTACAATTCCAACACTGTGAAATTTCAGATTTAAATAGCTGAAATCACAAAATTTACGATTTTTAAAATCCTATGACTGTGAAATTGACCAAAATGGACTGTGGATATGGTAGGGCCCTAGCAATAAGACTCTGTCTTCCCATAATCCTTTGCCGCGCACCACACAAAGCAGTCTCCTTTGTGCGTGAGGAGAAGGGGCACTATCAGTTACCCTAATATCTGGGATTCTCCTTCTCTGCTGATATTTGGAGGACTCCTGCTTCAGAAGTAACTAGAACAGCTCTAAGCAGGGCCGGCTCCAGGCACCAGCGCAGGAAGCAGGTGCTTGGGGCGGCCAATGGACGGGATGGCACGTCCGGATCTTCAGTGGCAATTCGGCGCCGAAGAATCAAGCGGCGCGGTAGAGCTGCCACCGAAGTGCCGCTTGGGGCAAAAAAGCTGGAGCTGGCCTTGGCTCTAAGAGCCATGCCTCACACCTGGGCAGTACGTTTCTTTACTTGATCAAAACTAAGGAGTTCAAATGTTTTTAAAAAACCACGAACTATGTAAAAGTTACTTATTTCTGTGGAGAAGCTAATGTTTAAAAATGTAAAAAGAGTATTCTGAGTGAGAGCTGTCCTTTAAATGCCTGAATGCAACTGACTCATGACTTAGCAAATCAGATTTGCTGCTATCTAATGTTATACCAGCCTTTCCTGGTCTGGGCTTGTTTGACGCTGTCTGATTTCCTGTCTTGCAATTAGGATAATTCTTCATCATCATCAATCAACTAGTGCTATTGAAACTGGTGCATTTAATCACATAAAATAAAAATGTTCTCCTTGCCCCTAGCAGGCTGTACACACTCATGTGTTTTGAAAAATGTCCCAGGTTTCCCCTCAGTGAAAAAGGCAATACTTGCTCTTTAGACAGAGGAATGCCTCTTGGCTAGGTCTGTAACTTTTCTGTCTGCAAACTCCCAGGTGTATAGTTGAGGTCAAGTAAGTTACTTGTAATGAAAACTAGGATCTAGTTATTCATGCCCTTTCCTCCCCCTTCCCCTAAATTCTGATATTTTCCCCTTTAACAGTGCAAAGACCATGTCCAATTTTTCTATGAACTGAGGTCCTGAAATAAAAATGCCATCCCCACACTGGAAAAAGACACTGGCCTCCACACGCATGATTCTTTACAGCTCCATTTGCATAGCTGTCAGGACCAGGTCTAATGGATAATGGAGTCTCTTCCAGATTGTATATCAAATTCATAACAGGAATGTTTGTTTTCTCATCAGAGATTTGTCTTCGTTATTCCACATCTTTTCATTTACTGAACAAAGGCAACATGGATCATTCATCGGGATGAGTGGTTTTAAGCAGGAAATGACTCTGAATGGGGTGAAAATTTATAGGATTGGTGAAATGTAATGTTCCAGCTCCATAAACAGGTCATGCAGGAATTATAAACAATGCTTTTTTATGACCATTTAGGAAATCCTTTCAAAACCAGTTTATATCTTTATGGAGTAGCATTTTAATCACAAGGGTTTGTGATCAGATTAGTTGCATTTTCTTTACAAGCTTGAGATTTGGGTGGTTTTTATTTCTGACATTAGATGTTATATAATGTACTTCAATCTATTGTATAAACTCTCTCATCTGCTCAGGGGTTTACCCTGTAATCCCCATAACTTGTCATGACTGTTAAGTCCTTTTCAATTTTTATGTAGCAGTAGCCCTGAAAATCTATCTATGTAACTGTCAAAGCCACTCTTGTCAGATCCTAGGATATGCCAGTTTAAATTGTATCCACTCTTTTTTTGCATTTATCCCACTTCTGATCATTTTTGTTCTTCCCCCTCAGACTGGGAACTTTTTTGGTGAGATCGAGGGGGCTGTGATGAACAAATTGCTAACAATGGGCTCCTTTAAAAGGTAAGAATTTTACAACCCTCTCTCCCTTAAAAAAAGGTTTGTATAAATAAAGTAAAATAAAACCAAGGTCAAATAAAACAAGCCCAAAGTTGACTGAGTGGCTGGATTCTGCTTGTGCTCATGTTCCAGGTGATCTTTGTAATTTGATGCCACATGCATGGACTGTTACAAGTCTTGGAGACTTGGCCTACAATGAGTTTCCTGTTAACACGGTATAGCTTATTGGAGTATGATGCTGAAGTAAGAATCTGAATCCAATCCTGTTCCCATTGACTTCAGTGGGAGCAGAATTGGACCCTATATACTGCAGTGCAGCTTAAACAGATTTTTAAAGCAAGTCACAGAGGAAATAGAGAACAATTTAACCTATAGAAATCTGGGGATTCTCCTCTTTAGAAAAGACAAACCAGAAAAGACAAAAGTGTCCCAGAGATAAAGGGGAAGAAGTTGCTTCTCATTGATTTATTTTCATTCACATTTACTATCTCAGCCTCACAAAATTGTCATGATTTTTGCCTGGCCTGGCCAATTTTCTACTTACTGGGCCTTACCAACATCGTAATGAAAAACAAATGCATTTTTTTATGTGCCCATCAAAATAAATAACTCACTCCAGGGAAGTAGGCAAGTAGAATGTTGCAAGGATATGTTAACCTTGTCTCCCAACTCAGTACTACATTCTGCCTGGTTTTTACACAGCTCTAAATAGCCTCCCTCCATCCCTTCGCCATTGTATGCCCCATATACGAGCTGGGAAGAACTGTAGTCCTTGCATTTAGGACTACTCTCTAATTATTCCCCTGTGAAAACTAGTATCTAAAGGAAGCAGAATAGGATGGGGCCATAGATGGAACCAAGCCTATGTTCCCAATCCCTACCAGCCAGTGGAGCTGGCCAGCTGCACAGAGGGAGGGAGAGGAATATGCTGCACCCCTTAAAGAGATGTGGCAGTTTGTGGTTCCCTTGTGCAACAGGAAGCTCATTCTCTTCGGGTATGTCTACACTGCAGTTGAGAGGTGTAATTGCAGCACGTGTTGACATACCCCAGCTAGCTTTGATCTAGGTAAGTCAAAGTTAGCTCAAGTAACAATAGCACTGAAGCTGAGCAGCAGGGGTGGTGGCTACTCGAGTACGTACCCAGGGTTCTGGGTATGTGGAGCAAGCCCACCCGCCACCCATGCTACTGTGCTGTCACTGCTGTGGTACTCAAGCTAGCTTTGATTTTTAAAGCTAGCTCAGGTATGTCTATACTTGCTGCAGTCACACCTCCTGATTGTAGCGTAGTCATATCCGTAGAGGCCGTATGCTTCCTGTGCCCCTGTTGGGCTGGGACAGTGGTGCATCACACACAGTAAAGAGCTCTCCCAAAATGAGAAGATCTAGCACTCAGTGAATAGTCCGAAATCCTAGTTTTCTGATGGTGGCAACCTTCATTCTGCTGGCAAAGGAATTGTTATTTGTTTACTGTTACATTTTCAATAATTATTATGAAATGAAGTGAACTAATTCCTATTTACTAAACGGGTTCTGGGACGGAAGGGCAAGAAGCAAGCCATCTTATTTAAGCCAAGCTAAAAATCAGCATTAAATGCAAAGGATAATGCTTCGCCTCCATACCTTTGCTTTTCTCCTACCCAGCAAAATATTGGCATTTTAACCAGAAATTCAGTGATGCTGAGCTCTATGAGTGACATAAACAAAATGAATGATCCATCTAGTGTGCAGCGATAGCCAACTTGGAATGGCTAATCGGTTCATGTTTAGCTATGAGGCACCTAGAAAGAATGAAGCCAACATCAAATCCACTAACTGAGAGCGACTGAGCTGCACGCTGAAAGCAAAATTTAAACACAGTGAGTGGGTTATTTAAACAGAATAAGCTGGCCATTGCCAGTGAATTTAAAAAATGGGTTAGAATCAAACTGATATAATTGCACTAAGTGAGCCACCTGCTCTTTGTGGTACAGCATTTAGCACAGTGCAGCAGAAAGTAAACTCACTTGTGTACCCCAGAGGAAAGGCTTTTAAAAAGAATCCTCCCACCAATATGGAATGGGAACCTTTCTTGGGTTTGTAATGAACATTAATCAGACATGTGTTCCTTGTTTAAAGGTTATTGTTTTCTTTTTGCTTTACCTTAATGTATTTCTTTATTTTTATTTCAAATCAGGGGAAAAAAGCATGGAAGGGCTTGGAGGGGAGCTCTGCATTCTGGGCACTGATGCTGTGTGAGTGCAGCAGAGCAGTTGCCATAAATATTATGTACATCATATTTCCTATTATTATGGTTATTATGGAGATCAGATTAGAAAGCAGGCTCTAATCTGTCGCTATATTCTTTGGAGTTTTTCTCTGATGATTTCCAGAGCCATCCTCTATTCTACTTTGCTGCCTATATGTTGTCTACTTTCCAGCAGATGTGTGTGCTATAAAAACTATCATCTGAGCTGTTTTTGCTCCTCAGTGGCTTAGCTGGCAAAGTGCAGGCTTCCATGATGCCTGGACCCGCACCATAAAACACAAAAGGCATTTATCGATACCCCCTGGGAAATGGGAGTCCTAAAGTTCCTCTTGAACCTATCTATCCCGAGTGGCAGTGCAAAGAGATTCCACCACATCACAGATTCATGCTAATTATCACACAAACTAAGGGCCCAATCCTGCAAAGGGATGGGATGACCTCTTGTGATATGCTGAGTTCCCTCAACTTCTATTGGATAACAGAGCACTCAGTACTTCTCACGATCAGGCTGGAAGCATTGGGCAAAAGGGGGTTGTTTCCCTAAGTCTACATTTGTTTTCATCATGTACCTGGGTGTTCACAAAATCCATACGTTGGCTGTTTGTATTTTAATGTGAAACTTCAAGTGGAACCAAAAAAGTCTTTTTCTTAGACTGAGTAGTGTACTTCTGTTGATCTTCTTACTTTGAACTTTATGTTCAGCAAAATATATAGTCTATTTTTTAGCAAATTACCTCCATAGTCACATGGCCTGTTGACTGTTAAATCCTTAGTTATCAAGTCATTGTCTACTGTACATTCTGTATAATGCACACAATTCAATATTAAAATGTCATTTAAATGCATTACCAATTAAATTAAAATGTACATATGGAAGGAACTGAATTGATATAATCTGAAAAGCTGCAGCTTTTATAGGTACTGAAACCATCTTATCATGAAAAACTTCTCAATTAAAAAGATTTTCTACAAGACCCAATATACTTTAGCTTTTTGCAAGAGTCACACCATACTGCTCATGGGAATAGTGTGAAGTGCTATTTGTTTGCTGAAAGAAAAGTGTACAATGTGGAAAAGCCTACAAAATAAGAGATCCATGAATGAATATGTTTATAAAAGGGATGAAGTGATTAAAAATGGAAGAGAAAGCCGAAGGTCTAGTCTACCAAAAAGTCCCTGCAAAATTCTTCAGTAGGATCTAAAAATGAGGACGTTTTAAAGGCAAATATGACACAGTATCCTCTCCTCTTGACAGTTCTGTTTCCATCAGGCAGTCTCCTGGCCCCTGCAGAAGGACCTCTACTTCGGTATTTAATCATGTTGTCAGAACATAAGACCAAACTGGTGGACACCTGGATTTCAGCTTTCCCAGATGCTAAGGCTCACTCTAACAATTTTTTTTGTTGCTCTGAGGGCTCCTCTTGCTGCTCGCCTTCCCCTGCTTCTTTCATTTATCTTTCTTTATGTGCTTCCTAGTGAATAATGCATGCTCTCTGTGCTCTTAAAGTATGGTACATTCCAAACCTCTTACTGTTTTCTCTCTCTCTCTCTCTCTTTTGATTAGCTTATAAATTAAGTTTAGTGGAAGTTCTCCAAACCTTAGAAATGTTTTGCTTCCTGGTTATAATCCTAACTATCCTATGAAATTCTGAAAGCTTTGAAAAGCTACATGCAAAACAGCAAAGCATTTTTGAATACAAATACTGGAAAAAGAATAACTTAGTGGGTCACCCCACTCCCTTTCAGACATAACAGCTTTTTAAAGAAGCATGTTCACCTGTGCACCATGGGACATTTTAACATGTAAGCTCCTTGACTGTGACATTGACTTTTAATTAAATGCACTGGGAATATTTTAAAAGATAAATGTTATATTTGCAAGTCTGGTTTTCTCTAATTTAGTGCTTAGCTTCCTATTGGATAGATTTATTTATTTATTTGTTAGTATTCAAAACCATTGAAAAATGCAATGACCTTTTTATCAGCAATTTTTTTTATGAACATAAGTATGCACTTTGGAGGACATTAGTGCTGTGAGCGAAGGGCCAGTCAAGAAGAGGCTTGATATAGCTGTTTTCACCTGTACAAATGTGAACATTATTTTGCTGGTCCACAGTTGTGGAGGGTTGTTGCTGTTTTTGGTGGGGGAGGGGTTGGTTAACAAAAATGCCCTGCACAATAGGCCTCATTCCTAACATACGCACAATCTCTAGGCATTAAAGATAGATTGGTCTCCACATTTTACCTAATGACATTGCCAGAAAGAGGAGCCCTGTTCTGACTGTTTGAATTTCCCAGCTGTATTTCCTGACCTGTACTCTTGTCACTTTTTCATGGCTCTGTGGTATGCTCTCGGCCCATCTGACATCTAAGATTCACTGGGTTAGAACTGAATTTGGGCATGGTTTAGACTTTAGGTCTGAGTGAATTTTACTACCACTTTCATATAGTGTATTAATATATACGGGAATATCTTTACCCAGCTATAAGGCCCCAAACATGTGTGCTGTGTAAAAGAGTCCTTGTTCTGCATGCTCGAACTAAACGTCGAGTTGTAGCCTTTATAAATGTTATGCTTTGCAGTATCTTGGCAATTAGAAGCAGTTAAAAACCAGTTCAGCTCTTCTCCTAAGTACAGCCAAAGACACGTGCTGACAAGTTATTTTTGTCAAAGGCATAATTTATTTTTATTTTTTTAACTGAATTTAGTAGTGATGAAAGGTGCTGGATTGACAGCACTGGAGACTATAATAATCTG